TATAAGGTATTGCAACACCCTTGAAATAGTATATAAACACAAGTAAGCATGCTTAAAAACAACAGTTTGAATACTTATTTGCACATAATTTTGTCAAACAGCGCTATTTGCAAGAAGCCTCATATGAACACGAAGACTACCAGTTGTCCTACCATAACTCCAACTTCATTCAGAAGTTACAACAGTCTATTCCAAGCCCAAGTGAGCAGACAACCCCAGCAGCAGACTGGTTGACATGCCCGGGCGCTACCGCGACTTCTGTAGACAGAGGCGTTGAACACACTCATCCATATGACCAAAAGCAGGATCATTCCAACCGCCTCTGTCACCAAAATAATTACGTTCAAACGCATCAGCCTCAGCAACATCTGCAATATCAGCAACACCAGCATCAGCAACATCAGCATCAGATTCACCCTCAGCAATCTCATTGGTTCACTCCCTCCGTCCTATTCACCTGCTCTCCTCGACCTACATTCCCTATAGAGCAAGTACCGCAAACAAATACTTTATGCAAGACATCTTCACAAATTGTCCTCCCCGGCAGAGGTTCTTGCACAGATGCCTCAAAATCGGTCCAACTTTCAGGGAAGTCATCTTCCCTATTGTATGCCTACTCTTCTACAATAGGTACCTCGATACAACCAGCGAGCACTCGACTAGGGAACTCGGAAACAGGCTTGACGGCTGGCCAAGCGTCCTGTTCGCTTCACCCGTCCGGACTAATTGCTTCGAATACCACCACCATTTCCCTCTCTTCACCGAATGCCAATAGTGCTAAATCAGAGACACCACAGTCTGTCAACCTACTTCTCAGCTCCCCAGAAGGAATAAATACCGATTCGGGCTGCCGTTCAGAGAGTGCTATTTGCAATCAAGTTTGCCTCCTCCAAAAATCAGGGCAGCTCCCTGTCGCACAGTGTGGTTCTGGAGATCAAAGGTGCCGAACCAGTCTGGAAGGCCTAGGCCTTGCGGCTGGACGGCCGTTGATAGGAATGGAGCAGACGGTCTTTTGCCTGGGCACTATTTAGGCAATGTAGTCAGCTTATGGCACAAGAATGATAAAGTTACCATTTTTCGCTCCATTTCTATTTGCCCGTCCTAGCTGCTTGGATATAAGACCATCAAATGTATGCTTAATGGAGCTTTACTGTTTTCGTTCGAACCACACCACCGAGGTTTAGAAAACCCAGAGATTCCTGCAGATCTTTCAAATCGCCCAAGGGTGCAATAAAATTCAAGAACCTTCTCGATTTCCTCTAAAAAAACTCTATATACCCTAACCTATTTGTGATTTCGACTGCATTTTCGATTTTTCTTCTTAATAGCCAGTGTCACGAAAGCACTAGCCTCTATTGTATTCAAAATACATCAAAGAAATCTAGGCTAAATGGAAATCTTAATCGCCTAGAATCAAACTTTTACATACAAAAAAACTTGGAAAAGGGTTTTATAAGTGGAAGAGGTAAGACTGACACCAAATCTGGTAGTTAGATATATGAATGACTACTTTGCCATATG